TTGCTTAAGCCTGGCGTAGAAGTTATCGCTGGCGACGACCTTTACGGCGGCACCAACCGTCTACTTACCTACCTGCGCACGCATATGGGCGTGGCTGTTCATCATGTCGATACCACCGATGCGCAATCGGTGATCCCGTACCTTCATCCTGGTAAAACGGCCATGGTACTCCTCGAGTCGCCCACCAACCCGCTTCTCAAGATTGTCGATATTGCTAGGATTAGCGCCCTCGTCAAGGAGAAATGCGAAGATGCGATCGTTGTGGTGGACAACACCATGATGAGCCCGTACTTGCAGCGACCTCTCGAACACGGCGCGGACATAGTTTATGACAGCGCCACGAAGTACCTTAGCGGGCACCACGACTTAATGGCAGGTGTAATTACCTGTAACCGCGATGATATTGCGAAGGTATGCCCTCAATCGAAATGCCTTCTGTGCTGGTATTGAACGCGGTGCAGGAAATGGCCTTCATCATTAACTCAGTCGGGAACGCTCTCACCCCGTTCGATTCTTTCCTCCTCCTCCGCGGAACGAAGACGCTTGCTATCCGCATGGATCGGCAACAGTCTACATCTATGCTCGTCGCTCAGATGCTTTCGAAGCTCGGTTTCGTTACGCACTACCCCGGACTGCCCAACCACCCTGGCAAAGATATTCACGACCGTATTTCTGATGGTTAGCTCATCTCGAGCCTTTGGGCTGCTACACACTAATTTTACCACATACGCGCAGGTTATGGGGCGGTACTTTCCTTCGAGACGGGTGACAAGGAGCTGAGTGAGCGAATCGTCGCTGCTACCCGCCTGTGGGGAATCAGCGTCAGTTTCGGCTGTGTCAACAGTTTGATCAGCATGCCTTGCGTCATGTCGTGAGTACCATGTTTCATTGAAGACGGCGTTACCTTACGAATTGGCACAGTCACGCTTCCATCGACCCCGCCGTTCGGGCAGCTCGTGGTTTGCCCGAGGACCTAATCCGTTTGTGTGTTGGAATCGAAGACCCTGCGGATCTGCTCGACGACCTCCGCCACGCCCTCATCGAAGCAGGCGCAATCACATTTGCCGCCAACGACTATGTGAGGATACCTAACCCCATCAGCCGCGCGGTAGAGAAGTTGGCTTTAGGTGAGGCTCGAACGACTCCTCCGCGTGAGAACAGAGAGTGGTTTGTCAGTGCTCCCGGCAAGGCCATCTTGTTTGGAGAGCATGCAGTTGTTCACGGCGTTGTGAGTGTTTTCGTCCATATTGACCCCACATTACGGCCTAACCAGTTATCAGACCGCGGTCGCAGCCTCCATTGATCTGCGTTGTTATGGGTTGACGTCTCCTCGACACGACAACAAGATATCCGTCCACTTCGCGGACATCGACGATTACAGACACGAATGGGATCTAGATGAATTGCCCTGGGACGCTGTAGTATCGATTCCGAAGGGTGACGAGCATCCCGAGTCCCTCGACATAAGGGTCGTGGATGCCATTAAATCACGCGCCCTCCCACCTGAGTCTGAGATGCCACACAAAGCTCGGGCCGCCGCTATCGCCTTCCTGTACCTTTACATGATGATGACTTACAGCGGTCATAGGTGAGTTGGGGCCGTCATGTTGATTCCGAACGCGCCTTGACTTTCGAATTTTAGACCTTCTTTCCACTTCATCTCCCGCTCTACTCTCCCCATCGGTGCTGGATTGGGCTCTTCGGCCTCCTTCTCTGTCTGTATCGCCACTGCGCTGTTGATCCTCCACCAGCGTATCGAGCTTCCTTCCCTCCCGCCTCCTTCGCGCGGACCCACGAAGCCCGGAGACCCGGGCCACGTCAACCTCTCGCACCAGGGTCGTCGTGCCGTACCCCCCGAGTTCGCGGATGAGGCGAATCGCTGGGCGTTCGTGGCTGAGAAAGTGCTGCACGGCAACCCGAGCGGAGTCGACAACTCCGTCGCGGTCTTTGGCGGTGCGCTCGCGTACGTGCGGCCCGGGTTTGGGAAGCGAAGCGGGATGGACCAGATTCAGGGCTTCCGCTCCCTGCGGTTCCTGCTCGTGGACTCGAAGATCCCGCGCGATACGAAGGCGCTCGTCGCTGGCGTTGGGAGGAAGAAGGCAGCAGAGCCAGAGCTAGTGGGCCAGATCCTCGACTCGATCCAGACGATCAGTAACGAGGCGCGGCGTGCGTTGGCCGACCCCGAGTTGCCGCGCGGTGCACTTTTATCAGGTCTCGCGGTATGTGTCACTTATTTCGCTGTCCCTTCGGGCGCTTGCTAATTGGTGTCATGCCTGCAGGCCCTCATCGACGAAAATCACGCCCACTTGGTTTCCCTCGGCGTGTCTCACCCTGCGCTAGAGACGATCCGCGCTAAGACTGCGTCTCCGCCCTACCATCTTAGCACTAAACTCACTGGCGCTGGCGGTGGAGGCTGCGCGGTTACCCTGGTTCCGGACGGTAAGCCCCTTCGATGCGCATTCATTCAGCGCATATACTCACTTGCATCGTAGATTTCGCCGACGGCGCGCTTCAATCCCTCATCGCCGCTCTCGAGGCCGAAGGCTATCGGCCGTACGTGACCGCTGTCGGTGGCTCGGGGCTGGGTGTACTCTCCCCGTACGACCCTATCCACGTCGACCAAGAGGACGACATCTCCGCGCCTCTCTCTCCGCCGAAAACGCCTGGTCCTAACGGCCAGGAGGAGCATTTTCGCCCGTCTATCCGCCGCCGCTTCGAGGAGGTTGATGTGAGCGAACTGTCGCAGTGGGCGTCGGGCCGCGGCAAGTGGCTGTATGTCTAAGCTTTAGATTCCCGGGAAGTCGCAAATATCCGATGTTGTGATCTACGGAGATGTACTATCAAATGGATGAGATGTGTGGCACTAATCGACGTGTGAGGCTTCGAGGGGCGCGCCTATACGGCTATACAAGATAGTGTGTCTTCGGTCTGTTTCCCCTCACTGCCCCCTATACGCCGAATGTCGACCACCATACTTCCCCAATGTCTGTCATACCTCGTCCTGCCAGCAGCTCGATATCAATGTCATTTCTGGGAGGGATAAACACGACAGCCCCCTCGTCCAATTCGAGCTCTTCGTGGCCATTGCGCACAGCGATCCTCACCCTACCCTTTGTCACAATTCCGATCGTTGGTCCTTGTACTGCACCTAGTTGCTCAGTTTGAGCGCTCTTTCCGTCGAGCGCCGTGACGAGAACCACAAACTCCTCCATGGGAGGATCGTACTTGGACGTGCGGCCCTTGCGCGAGTGCGGATATGCCTCTCGAGGTAAGGCCCAGTGCGACGTCGGGCGCGCGGTGTAGGTGAGCATGTCCACGAACGTCCCGATCTGCGAGGCAAGCGAGTCGGGCGAGTCGAACGCGGCGTTGACTACGTTGTCGGAGACAGCCATGCACTCGATGATATCTGATGCGTTCATTAGGCAAGCTGTCGGAGGCGGCCGAAGCGAAGGAATGAACATACCTCCTTCGAGGTAGGCGTGCACCTCGTCTGCACCAATACAGATGCCCTCTCCCTTCTTGAGCTTCACGAAGTTCAAGAAAAAAGTCGTCGCGAGGACACCCGCGTCGCCGGGGTATTGGTCATTGACCTTCAGGATGAAACGCGCGAGCTCGTCCCCGTTGGATATTTCAAGGCTGCCGCTCTTCTTGATCCGCTGCTCGAGCTCCGAGATGGCGGAGGCGACGTCGTCTCGGGCCTCGACACCGCGCCTCAGCAATGCCCCGACAATCCGCCTGAGTTCATCGGTAGAAGGTTTTTGTATGAAGGTAGATATGAGGATCTCGTCTCCTACGGCTTGCACAAGCTCCGGAACCGTTTGAAGAAAACCCTTGATTTCCTCGAGAGGACGGAACCCCACGAAACCCGTGAATGCGGTATCCCGGTCGCCGACTTGTACTACGTCCCCGCCCTCGTCAGCCTGTCCAGCGAGAACGAGGGGCTCCCCGATCGCAACCGCGATCTCCGGCTTATGATTGGCGTCGACGAAGTTCGAAGGGTCTTTTTGTTGGAGCTGTTCCGCAAGGTGCTTGTCTGGGTGAGCCTGCAGAGGGAGGGCTTTCTTGATAGAGAGAACCTTGAAGAGATAAGGGATGTGGACTGTAGAAGGCCACTTTCGAACTAGTGTCTCGCCCAGGTAGAAATTAGGGTCTGACGAAATGAGAGAGAGGAGAGATGTCGATGAATCGTCGAAGAGGTGTGCCGGGCCGTTGGGGTGCGTCCCCATCCAGACCTGCGCGAAGCAATGAGACGCGATTTCCCCGTATAAAATCACCAGGCTTACCTCTGCGTACGACCTCTCTTCGTCTATTCTAAATCCTTGGCCGACCGCATTTTCGCCCAATCGCGCCACAATTGAGGTGCTCCCTGATCTTCCCCATTCGTATTCTTGAGTTGCAGCTTTGAGACGGATAATACTTTTCGGTGCAGGCATGTTGAGAGACCATAGGATGGCCATTCATTTTCTATGATTACACTGCTTTATATGCACTCAGAGACGCTGCGGGCAGACTCCAACTTTCTGTTGAAACACTCGCCGCACTTTGAGCCGCAGGTGCTTGGGTGACGATTCCCCTGACGTCACCACTGCCTTGGGGAAAGCCATATAAGGCAAGTCAGTTCCTTTTTCCGGAAGGACATGCATCATGATATCACACTGCAGCGGGCTTCCGTAATGTTTGTGTTCTTCAACATCAGAGAGGGTCGAGTCGATAGAGAAAGCTTGGAATCCTCCCATCCCTTCTTTTTCCCGGACTCCTTTGAGTTCAACTCCGGCACCACAGCAGCCCTCGCTCTCAACCGCTTATCAGGCCCTGTAGGACAGTTAAGGAGATTCGATGAATGAGAGGTGACCCTTATTGAGTTTGTGAGTTTGCATGTCTTATGGCTAGTATTGGTCCTAGTAAACTGAAGCAAGCCATCCGTGGACGACCGACGCCGCCTTGTCGTTGGTTCTATTCAGATTCAATGTTCAGCTTTCCGTTTTGGCCGTTACATCCAAGGCGAGATGGCCGAGCGGTCTAAGGCGCCAGACTAAGGAGCAGGTTCTGGCCTTGTCCGAAGATTATCTGGTCCGAAAGGGCGTGGGTTCGAATCCCACTCTCGTCATGGAGTTGTTTTTGTCCCTTCGCGCGGTTGAGGTCAACTCCCGCGGAACGGGATCCGGTCCTCCGACGCGATCGATAGAGAGCGCCCGCGGCACTTTCCCAAAAGGCGAGTTGTAGATCCGCTAGTATGCGGTTAACGCGCCCAAGCTGCTTGAATAGTTCCCTCTCCTCCTTTCTCATATCGTCTTCCGTACGCGTCGGGAGAACTCGTCGTTGTACACAGATTCATCGCGAGCAACTTACAGAGCCATATAGATCTACCGGCCTTGCGAAGGTATCTTTAACGAGCCGCAGATTCCACTGCAACTTACCTGCCACGACCATGTACCCACCGATCGAGCCATACCAGACCGGGAGACTGAAAGTCTCCGATATTCATACCCTTTAGTACGTATCGGTCGCATCAATCTCGTCTCTCCTGGACCCGACATCTCTGACGTCACTTGTAGCTTTGAGTTGAGTGGGAACAAGGACGGCACACCAGGTAGGCGCATTCAACCCACCTTGCCGGACGCGGAGCTCACCGGAATTATCAGTGGTTTTCCTGCACGGTTGGCGTATTTCTTCCTGTCCACGACGGAATCATCCAACTCATCCACCGCGACTGCTCAGGCGGACCAGGCGGAGGCACCGATCCTAAAGATCGCTCCTTCTTTGACCCGTCGAAATACAAGGCATGATTTGTTGGGCCCGCCTATCTAATGTGTGCTCATAATCTGTACAGATCGTTCTTTTCGACCAACGAGGCTCGGGCGAATCTACGCCGTACGTTTTATTCCAGCATAATGTAGTCTAGTCGGGCTACACTCATGCATTGAAATACAGGACGGCCTCTCTTGAAGAGAATACTACGTGGGACTTAGTCAAAGACATAGAGAAGCTGCGCGAACATCTCAAGATCGAGAAGTGGCATGTCTTTGGCGGCTCCTGGGTAGCTTGATACCACTGTACAGCTTTCAACGGTTTATATTCTAACTGTTCTCCACTAGGGGTCTACTTTGTCTCTTGCATACGCACAGGTTTGCTTCCATTCATCGACGGGTGAGGCGAGCTGTCTCATTGCTGTTTGTCATGTAGTCGCACCCGGACCGCGTGAAGACTTTGGTCATCCGAGGCATATTCACCCTGCGCAAGAGGTGTGAACCCGCTTTTCATCGGTGATCTCGGGTGCTAACCCGCCCACTACCAGCGAATTGCGTTTCTTCTACCAAGATGGCGCATCCCACCTGTTCCCCGAGGCTTGGTATCGGATGTCCCTTCTCACGGGAGGATGTATGCTAACGGTGCATTAGGGAAGAATTTATTGCGCCTATCCCAGAGGCTGAGCGTCACGACATCGTGACGGCGTACCATGCTCAACTGAACGCTACGGATGATGAGATCCGTCTTCGTGCAGCACGGGCGTGGACGAAGTGGGAGTGCGTTCCAGGCCCATAGAACTCGCGTACTCGGCCAGGCTGCTGACTGTTATGCGAGCAGGATGTCCACTTCGAAGCTCTATGTCGACCCCGCACAGGTGGCAGAGGCGGAGAAGAATGACTTCGCAAAGTTCGTACCTCGTTTCCGACCCTACAGTTATACAAGAACCTGATACCGGCGGCACGCAGCGCGTTCGCAAGGATCGAGAACCACTACTTCGTCAACGACGTGCGTCCATGTCTACCCATCAGGACGTTGTTTCTCACTCCAGGGCGCAGGGCTTCATGCGCGACGGTCAGCTGCTCGAGAAGCAGGAGATAGACAAGATGTAGGTGCTGCCACCGCACGCCACGCCGACATGTCTAATTTTACCCGGAACCTGCAGCCGGCACATCCCTTGTGTCGTCGTGCAAGGGCGGTACGACGTCATCTGCCCGGTGCGCATGCTGCACCTCCCACGCCAACGCTTGGCACTGACCACCTGCTCCGCGGACTGCAGGCGACGACGGCGTACGCACTCAAGAAGGTCTGGCCGGAGATCACGCTGCACATTCTGCCCGATGCAGGCCACTCTTCGCGCGAGCCGGGCATCACCAAGCTGCTCGTTAAGGTACGGAGTCCCACCCCTCGGGCCTGAAAGCGTTGTCGATTGCTGACTGTTTTGTCGCAGGCCACAGACGAGTTTGCGCACCTTTGAATGTCGCCAGAGAGGTTCGATGTGTGAGCGGAGATGGATCGGTAAGAAGGGCGGCGAAGATATATTCAGACAACCAACGAGAAGAACATACGTCGCATGCTGTGTCGTGTGGTCGCAATACGAGAATACTCCAATGATCGGGGCTGTGCCTTGCAAGTACCGAGCACACGGACAAGATCTCGGTGTTAATACCTAGTATGACTGCACGCACCGGTGCCGTTGTGAGATTCGGAATGCGTTCGCAATCTGGCCGGTCAATTGTACGCAGAAATGTCTTTGTGTGCTACACTGGAGGCCGCTGTGGTTGCTGGACAGACTCCTCGACAAGGCGTAGAGAGCCGGTCGTAAGCATGCTTTATAGACGACGCTTCGGGCAAGACAATTCGGGCCGATGACGTATATATTGACAGTCGATATAAGCCCTAAGCGCACTGGGACACGATGCTGCTTGCCTCTTGCCATTTTTCTGCCCGCCTGGAGAATCTTGTGGTGTGGTGGGACGACTGTGCGAAGACGAGTGCGGTCGAGTGCACTCGAGTCTCGACTCTGAGGGCTCTCGCTCTCGACGAGGACAAGCGACGACCCGGGCCCTAGATGGGGTCGGAACGCCACGGCGTCGGGCGGCTGGAGGAAAGCCTCCGTAACTGCGCCTGGAGCATGGCGAGCATCAGGGGGACCAGGAGAGGTCGTACGATGATCATGAAGACGGTGCGTATTGAGTCTTCGAGATGGCGATTTGACGTCGGCTGGGCCGGCCTGCGCGGGCCTCTCGCTGGGCGCAGTGCGGGGCTCGAGACGCCCGGGAGCGGCGCTGGGGTTGGTCCCGCTGAGAAGGCCGTGCGGAGGGCTGCCGCGCCAGGTGACGGCTGCAGGTGACGGTGCGATGGGTGCTCGAATGGACTGGATGGAGGGCGGGTGGGCCGTGCAGTGAGGACGGCCGTGCGGGGAAACCGCGGTGGGCAGGACGGGCCCGAGATAAGATTAGATAGAGGTGCGATCTCATCGGGCAGAGACGCGCGGGATGTGTCAAAATTCGGGCCAAGTGGGACGACTTTGGGGGCGCGCGCTTGGAATATAAGCAACCGGGCCCTCGTCTCCGTCCGCCTCAGCCTGGCGCACCAACACAGACGCGAACTCGTCGGTCTCGGTCTCGGTCGCGTCCTCACCACCGCACTCATCCTCCAAAAGTCCGCCCGCGTCGCGTCTGCGCCATGGATATCCTCCTCGACCTCCACGACGATCTCGTCTTTGACCGGATGTGGGCCGCCCTTCTCCCGGTCTCTGCGTTCACGACCGCCAGCTCGAATGCGGCCGGCCTATACAGTAACGCTTCTCACGTCCCCCTCCCCTCCTCCCACCTCTCAGCCTGGTCCCACCTCATCTCGCACATTCCCCACCCCCCGCTCCCAGACGACCTGCTTACCTCACCCCTCGTCGCTTCCGAGACCGTCGCCTCGGCCTGGCCCCGCGACTACCTCCCCCGCCAGATCATCTCCCTCTTCATCCTCACCTGGGTCGGCATCCACGCCCTCTACTTCATTTTCGCTGGCCTCTCTTACAAGTACATCTTCAACCATGAGATGATGAAGCACCCCCGTTTCCTCAAAAACCAGGTCAAGCTCGAGATCGAGTCAAGCATGCGCGCCTTCCCAGGCATGACCCTCTTGACCCTGCCCTGGTTCGTGGGCGAGGTTCGCGGTTACTCGAAGCTCTACAAAAACGTAGACGAGTACGGCTGGGGATACCTTCTGTTCTCGGTACTCTTGTGAGTCGCCATCTCGAAAAGTCGACCGGGCTTCTGATGACGAATTTTTTTGCTCAGCTTCCTGGTCTTCACCGACTATTGCATTTACTGGATTCACCGATGGGAGCACCACCCTCTCCTTTACAAGTGGTTGCACAAGCCGCACCACAAGTGGATCAGTCAGTGTCTCTGTTCTTCGTGTCTTACTTTTCGGCCGAACTAACCCGCGTCCGCCTTGCAGTCCCCACTCCCTTCTCGTCGCATGCGTTCCACCCGCTCGACGGCTACGCGCAGTCGCTGCCGTACCACATCTTCATATACCTCTTCCCCATGCACCAGAAACTCTACCTCGGCGTTTTCGTCTTCGTCAACTTCTGGTCGATCCTGATCCACGACTCGGACATGATCACCGGCCACCCGCTCGAGACGATCATCAACGGTCCTGCGCATCACACTCTGCACCACATCTACTTCACGGTGAACTACGGCCAGGTACGTTCTTCTGCGCTCCCTCGTCCCAGCGATGCGAAACTGACCTGACTGTGTCGTCACAGTACTTCACCTGGGCAGACCGCATGGGCAAGTCGTATCGCCAACCGCTCTCCGAGCTCGACCCCATGAACGAGATCAGAGCAGCCGAAGCGAAAAAGGCCAAGGAGGCGCTCGGCAAGGACCAATGAGCCCCTTACTACCGTCCGGCCTCTTGAGAAGGGAGGCGGTGGCGGCGGCGTTCGCGTTTCTTTTCTATGGATGTTTATTGACGACCCGCCACGACTTCGGCCCAAATGTACACTACTATTACACGCGCCCGGGCGGGCCCTGCTAGGCGGGTCGCGGGTCAACGCTACTGGTACTACCACCGCCAACGTCACCATAGATACTTGTAGGGGGGCGACGATCTAATTGCTAGCGCTGTCGAGAGTCGTGTATACCGGCATCTAATGCAACCTGTTCCATGGCTGTTCGTTGTAACCCGTGTGTTGAATGTTCTGCCTGTGTTTCAAGTCCGTCTGCGTGGAGAGATGTCGACGCAAGTGTGTGTGGCTGAATGCAGCCGTCGCGCGTCATGGTGGCGTTGGAAGATCTTGACGTCGAGGAAAGTCAAACTGAACGGTGCCGGTTATACCCTGAATTTGAATGCAGTCGGGGCCGGACTCCAAGGCATCATCATGGAATCAAACCATCGCGAGGGCTGAAAATGGGAGTACACTGTACGAGCAAACAGGTAGCGTGCATCATGACGGCATCGCCGACAAAACGCGCGCACAACGACACAGCACACCAGTACTAGTACTGCCGCGGCGCGCGGTGGCGCAGAGTGGCGCATATACACGGTTGGGATATTTCAAAATAACAGCGGGACTGCATGTAGGTACAACGAACAGACAAACAGTTATCACAGCGAGCAGGTACCACTCTTCAACACCAGCACCCCGTCCATCCGCCAGCGGCCGACCGAAAGTCCCTTCTACACATCTCGACGGCCGCAGCTTTTCCAGCCTCCCCCGGGCCCTTGCAGAGCGCGCGCCTGGCACCTTTCTCGTCGCAGATGGCGGAACGTCCCAGACGCGCGCGCGCACGAGCAGACCGGGCACGGGTAGTAGGCCTCACCGCTTCGTCGTCGTCTTGCGCTTGACCTCCTCGTCCTTGCACGCGTGCAGCATGAGCTTGTTCGGGTGCCCGGGCGTCATGCCCGAGTGGCCCTTGGACCAGTCGTACGAGAGCGCGTACGCGAAGATCGTGCCGGAGCGGTTGAACGCCGTGCACGGGACCGGGCCGGGCGCGGGCTCGAAGGCTGGCGAAAAGGGTGCGGGGGGCTGTCATCAGCTGGGGGAGGACGGCGAAGTCAGAAGAAGAGAGAATGCGTACATTTCAGGCGGGTGCGCGCGTCCTTGTCCCAGAAGTTGATTGTTCCGTCGGAGCCTGTATGTGAAGTGGGCGCAATCAGAAAGAGGGGGAGGGCGGTCGGTCAGGGTCACAGGCCACGACGCACCGCAAGTAGAGAAGGTGCCGTGTACGGGGTGGAAGGAGATGTCGTTGACGGCGTATACCAGCGATTGGTCCTTGGTCGTCGGCGACTGGTCGCGGCGGTGGCACTTGAAGGAGAAGTTGTTTCTGCGTACGGGTACAGTAAGCCTCAGAATAGCGCCACGCCGGCGGCTGCGGCGATACGGGCGCGGACGGGTACGTACGAGGCGTCCTTTTCCTCAACGTATCTGGATGCGCGATGAGCTGGACGAATAGGGAATTAGAAGGGCGGACGTACTGGATGGCCACGCGGCCCTCGATACTTCCTACGGCGAAGCCGTTCGCCGAAGGGAAGCAGGAAACGACGCGTGTCTGCCATTTCAGTGGCGAGACAAGCGTCTAACGCAACCAAGCCGAGTGAGAAGGAAGACCGGGAAGAGAGCCAATACACAATTCATACCTTGAAAGGGGTGGTGGGGTTTGCGAGGTTGAACACTTGGATGTGTCGCTCGGCCGTGCCCACGACCATTAAGGGATATACGACATCCATGGTGTAACACCGCTCCGGTAATTGCGCGACCGACACTGGGTTGGACTGGCGCAAGTCCCAGTACTGCGTACGCCCCCTCCGATCGGTAGTCTGCTGGGACGGGCACAACTCAGGAACTCACCTTGATCGTCTTATCCCAGCTTCCAGTGGCGAGCACCCCACCCTGGGGCGACTCGATCCACCGCACGACGCGAATCGGCGCGTCGTGTTGTGCGACCTGGGTAGCCTGGCCAGTCGTCACGTCGAACATCCGTCCTGCGTTATCCGCACCACCAGAGAGAATCTTTGTTCCGTCCTGTCACCCCGCACGCGAGTACCGCAACATTGGCACCGCGAAACCTCGTTCGAGAGTTTAAATCGTCGAGGCGCACCTTGTTCCAACATACACTCAATACAGGCCCCTGGTGGGGGTACATGGCCTTTCCCTGTGTTTGGCCATTTGCGCCTACTTCGTAGATGCGAACCTAGCCACAGCCCGGCGCACGTCAATCTGCGGGTCATGGCCCGTCGATGTAGGTTCGTGTTTTACGTACATTGTTATCCCAGGAGCCCACAGCAAGGTAGTCGGCCGTGGGTGAGAAGGAGACAGATGAGATAGAGTCGGTCGGAGGATCCGCGACTTCAATGTCTTTCTCAGCATTCGTATTGTTGACGAGGGTGCTCGACGACGACGCGGAAAAGAACGCCATGTTTGCAACGGCCCAAACGCACGCGAAGAGACTCCGCAGGTGGGAGAGAAGGCCGAGCCGAGAAGACGAGGAGCTCAGAGAAGTCGAACAGAGACTCAACACTGCGGTATGCGAGCGCGGCGCTCTCTGGCAGGAGCACATGCCACACCTCCCCGCCACAACGCGTGACACTCTCCCGTTTTGGCATCAAGGCGCGTCACACAAGGATGGGTGCGCCACAGCGGCCGGGGGCTCTCCCATTCGTTAACCTCAAAATCTGACTTGAAGGAGATCTATCAATGTTGGTGGTCCGGTACGTCATTTTATGCCCGTAAAACGACAAAAAGCGACCAACCTGGGATTCGAACCCAAAATCTTCAGCTATTGAACACGTCCACCGGAAACTGACGCCTTAACCATTAGGCCAGTCGGCCAGCACCAGTGCTTCACTGGTGCTAGAATGGATCGTGATATCGATTACTACTTTGCGCAATGCGAAAAAACCTGAAACCTCCCCCGTTGTCTTGAAGCTGTGCGAGCACTCTACTAGTACAGGTACAGTAACGCATCGTCCGCCGGTGGGATGATAGTCTGATTTCACGACACTGGTCGAGCTGCGGGTCGTCCTGAAGCCAGATGAGTGAGTAGACCCGTTTAGCCAGACTACCCGACGGCGGACTAGACGTCATAGTGCGATCACCAAGGCCTTTACCGAGTCGTCACCTTCGGGAGCGGGGGCGGCACGGGCCTCTTTGAGCATCCAGATGGCTACAAGCGGCAAGTTCAACATCCTATGCGACGATGCGGCCCACTCTGACGTCGAGGTGAGGTCAACGGACGGTTTCCGCGATCCAGTGCGGAAAGTGTCATCGTCGGTATATAACCAACGTAAACCTGCGGGATTGTTTCAACGACACCGCTCCAGCATCGTCAACTAAACTTCCTTACCCTCGACTCTTCCTTCGTAACACCATCATGGTCAACCAGTCGCGCGGCCCCTACAACCTGCCCGCGGGCAACCGGGACGTGGATAGCCTGACGTACAACCCACAAGCCGACGCGGGCCCCGATAATGCTGCATTCGACGAGTCAACGGACGCTGGCATCCAGCCTGTTGGCGCGCGAGGCGCTGACATCCAACCCACTTACCGCGACTACCAAGGGGAGGACTTAGACACCGAGCGTTCTGAGCAAACCGGCCAGATTCCAAGGGGTAAATTTCACTATACCAACCGGGCTAGCGAGACGTTTATTAAATGAAATGCTTTCAGGCGAGGTCGAAGATCTCTTGTCGAGTACCACCCAGGACGAAAGAGACCTTTCTGTTCGGACCCGCGGGAAGAAGGTCGACGCCTACAAGCAGGAGCGTGACCTTGACCAGTCTTTCGAGGAGACTGGCCTCGCCGACGCCGATCAAGACGTCGAAATCGGCCGTGCTACCGGTCGATGAAGTTACGGTTTCTCAAGTGCGGCGACATCAAAGGCAGAACCGCGGAAGTAAGAAGTAGCATAAACACACTGTAACACTATTCTCAAATACGTATATCTTGATGTATTGGGCCCAAGTTTCGTGTGAAATATTTGGAAATGATGTTGGTAGATCACTGTAGGATAAGCAACTTTTGAGTACAGTCCGTCTGGTATGTCAAACTACACTGCAGAACCGATGAGTGCCAAGCGACATACCGGATATATGTGTTGCGGAAGCTGTTTCTGCGTGTCCGTGTTTCAAGTTGACCAACGCCTGTAATGTGCCGTGCGGCCCATGTACTAGTAGTGCAATTAGCTTTGCTTCTCATGGGATGTCGGCGTGCTCTCTTCAATAATGGAGCATGTCACAACTCCTGAGTGAAAAAAAGTACGAAACATGAGGCTTGCGCCCTGAATTTATTGGTCAGAAGGCGGGAAGTCGAGTGGACAATGTGGATGGTGTGCGGCAACGTCGTGTCCACTGTCAGAGAACCTGCACTGGCAGCTGTGTAATGAAAGTCAGGACGAGAGACGGAAGTTTATACAGTATTAGTAACGGAGATAAGCACGTTTGAAGGATGGTTAAATACCTACATACTTCGTGTTGAAGTCGGAGATAAACAAGACTGTGTTGTCGCAGGCGTCCCGACCCGAGCGGCGCGCCACCGCGTCTAGTGCGACTAAGTCGAACCGGGCGCACACAACCCCCCCCCTCTCTCCCGTCCGCCACGCACTCCCTGCTGCTGCTCCCGGTCGCACCTCCCTCGCGCCCCCATCGCTCGACATCCAGCAGTCGGCCCGCAATGACGGCGTTCCTCCCGCTGGACGCGGGCGCCGCATTCCCGCCGTCGCCAGCGTTTCTCGTGTCGTCGACAGACACCGCCAGCCATATGAAGCGGGTCATCAAGACCATCCTCAAGGCGCGCCGCATCGCAGTTGTGTGCGGTGAGGATAAATTGCTTTCTCTGTGTAGGCGCGGTGCCAATTGATGCTTGCGCGGTAGGTGCGGGCATATCTGTCAAGGCTGGCATTCCCGATTTTCGGTCGTCGGAGGGGCTCTTCCAAAGTCTTAAGAAAGACCATCCAACGTTGAGCTCGGGAAAGGATTTGTTTGATGCATCCGTTTTCAATGTGAGTCTTCAAGCTGAGTCATATCGTCTGCATCGGTCTTCGCAGGTGTAAAGGTGGTCAAACGGTGCCTTCTTGACAACGACGTTGCGCATATACTGTTCGAGGGACTCCTATGTCTCTCCCACGTGCAGCTTAACTCCGGCCAGGAAAGCGGGTGTCCGAGCGGCAGGATTTTCTCCCCGCCATCTTACTCGACGCTGGTATAACGTGTGTTCGAGGAGGCACACAGCGTTGAGGCAACGAAGCGCAGCCTCCCAGCAAGTTATCGCGGCAGTCTCGGCAATAAGAGACGTCGCGCTGGGTATGGCATTGGTTTTCGAACCCTATTGTGATCTCCTACTTCAAGTCCACAGCTATGTCGAGCGCAGTTGTGACCATGCATCCCTGCCTTGTATCTCGCTCGGTCGCTCGGTTGCTTTATAGCTATGCGATCATTCGCAACAACCGTTATCAAAAGGCTCGCGAGAACCGCCACTACTTCTACGCGTTTGGAACATCCGCTCATATCTTCTATGCGTTTTAGTCGGAAGATACAACTTCGCTCTTCTGTCAAATGATCGCGCAATTATCACAGCTTTCAGAAGCTGCGGAACCCACTCCATTCCACCGCTTCCTCCGAGTCCTAGACGAACGCCGGCGCCTCCTCCGGGTGTATACGCAGAACATTGATGCACTCGAGGAAAAATCCGGCCTCACGTTTGGTGTCCCGGAAATCGACGGTAAGCGATATAGACCTCGTGCGTCCAAAGGGAAACTTGCCGCCAACAACGCTGCCCCGATGGAGGATCCTGAAGCCGTTCGACTACCCTCTCCGCCCGCGGAAACCCCTCGGTGTATCCCATTACATGGTACATTGCAGATGATGCACTGTCAGACGTGCAGGCATTCCTACCCTCTTCGTGACTACATGGACGCATTGACTTCCGGCATACCCCCACCTTGTCCACAGTGCACCGCGCTAGAGGCGACTCGTCAACTGGTGGGAAAGAGATCGAGAGGTGTTGGAAGACTACGGCCCAGCGTGGTGCTCTACAACGAAGACCACAAGGACGGTGAGGAGGTTGGGGATGTTGTGCGGAAGGATCTCATCGGCAGCTCCAAGGGCAAGGGCCGTGCGGGTGCGGACCTCCTCTTGGTTGTGGGCACCAGTCTGCGGGTCCCGGGAACGAAGCGCATCGTGCGCGAGTTCTCCAAGGCCGTGCGCTCTCGATACGCTGCTATGAATGCACCGAGCGAGGAAGCGTCGACGTCGTCTCACGGTCTTGCGACTCCCACGCCCTCTCCCCGTCGGTCTCCTGCAGAGGACGAGGAACCGCCCGTACGGACTATCTATCTCAACTTGGACTTTCCGGTGCCGACTAGAGAGTGGGAGGGGGTATTCGACGTATGGATACGAGGAGACGCACAGGGGTTTGCGCAGATGGTCCACGACGAATTAGAGAAGGAAGAACAGGCGAAGGAGGCGGCACGGGAGCGGCGGCGACGTAGAGAGGAGGCTGCAGCGGAGATGGCGAGGCAGGCGGAAGAGAGGTACAAGGAAGATGCTGCGGAGTCGAGTCGGGATGCTGCCCCTCCCAAGAAGGGGAAGAAGCGGAAAGAGCAGTCTCATTCCGAGAACGATGGGCACGCTCACCCAACAAAGAAGCGGAAGGCGGGGGCTCCGCCACTATCTCCAGTATCGCCCGCTAAGAAGACACGCAAGGAGAAGGCGAAAGGCAAGAAGGAACGGACGCAAGAAGACGGGGGCTTACCCACACCCCCAGTGTCTCGCGATGACCCGAGACGGCTCACTATCAAGCTGCCACCACGCTCACAGCTCATGGCGGAAGTCGTCATCGAAATGTCTCCTCACAAATCTTCACGCCCTGTTGTTCAGCAGGGACCTCTTTCTTCCCCTCTATCCTCACCGCCGGAGTCCGTAGGCGTCCTTTCTCCTCCCCTGTTGTCTAAAGGAGTGGTCACAGCTGCGCCAGCTTCGTCGCCATTGTCTACCCCTCCACGTTCCGTGCATTCACCCTCACCATACAATATGTCTCGGATGAGTAGCACCTTGTCGGAGATTTCTTCGCCCTTATCCTCGCCACCGTCAACACACCTCCCATCGCCTCCCAACATCGCGCGCACGAATAGCAACACGACCCAGCTGTCGTCTCCACTGTCCTCTGTGCCAACCTCTCCCCATCGCGAAGAACTTCCCCCCTATTTCAGTCGTAGCACTCCTCATCGGAGGCAGACCTCCCCACCGACGCCTTCCCCTCTACATCGGAAGAGGACCCCTGGCGGGACCGGAAGCATGATCGGTGGGTGGCTCGGGAGGAAACCCGGTGTGAAGTCGGGGCACTCGTACGGTCGTCGGTCGGCCTCGATGGAAGACGAGGACGTCGACGTCGACGTAGTTGGGTCGAGCGACGACGACTCGGACATGCCTCCCTCCGAGAGCCGCCTCCCAGAATCGTACGTACGAACGGTGCAGCCGTCACCAAAGACTCGCCGCCGCGGGCGCATGCGATGAACTGGACCTGTTGTGCATGTACTATAACTGTGTTGGACTCCCACCGCGTAGCGCTACGCTACGTACATTCCTACCTATCCCGCACGCTTTCCTTGCGACGTGCGACTGTGTCTATGTCTGTGTCTGTGTCTGTTTACTTATTGGCTATTTGTACGATAGGTGGTACTATACGACCGAGAGGCATACTTTGCTGCCGCCGACGGTGGGTATGTGCTGGACAGTCCGCTGAAGCGCATATTCCCGCTATAATCTATCTGAACGTTCGTCAATTTGGTGCCTCGCTCGATGGCGTACGAGTCGAGGCAAACGAATAGAACACGC